TAGTTAGTTAGTTAGTTAGTTAGTTAGTTAGTTAGTTAGTTAGTTAGTTAGTTAGTTAGTGTGTTTATAAGTGTAATCTTATGTCATTTACATAAAAAGAATACGGACCGATATTTAACCAATATCTAAAATGTCATGGTTTAAAATAATGCGCTTCCAAAACTCTGATTCCTACATAGTATATATCCATCCATCTATTGTCCTTACCACTTCTTCCTACCACGGTCAACTAGTAGATAGATAACTAACCCTAACCCTAACCCTATAAAGGAAAGGGCTTTGATACCCCGTGACCCCGCCAGGAATAAGAAGCATCGATAACGGTTGGATAACTAACACTTACACAAGATGGACGCAAGAAAATTTCTAAAGCGAAAAGAGCATGACCAAACAGTAAGGGTCATTCCCTCCGACACGGAGGACAGTGGAGCTTGTAAAGAGTGAGAGTGGAAACAGTGAGGAAGAGTTGATGACCCTTGAAGCAGGCATGGGTTATTCAGCACAGTGACATGTGTGTAATGTACGAACGAATGTGAGTGTGCGAATTGTGCCTCCCGTTTTTCTTTTCTAAAGGTGAATGTTCACATGCTGAATTAAGTACCAGAAACATAACATCCATATCTGCTTCACATCCATCAGCCACTGCTTTATGTGGTTCCATACTACATACACACACAAATACGGGTACAGATTATTTATACATTGTTTGGCTTGTATACCAATTCTCATCGTCATAGAAAACCGAGGGGTTTTAGATCCTTGTTGCCCAGTTTTTCTTTGAGGCAAAAAGCCCATATATGGCTTTGGGCTTGATGAGCTCAGATTTTGTGTTTAACTTATTATTAGGAACAACCAAGCTCCAAAAAAGGGGGGGGAAATAAACAACAACTAAAGACAGCTGAATTAAAAGCCTGGCAAAGCATCACAAAAGGAGGAAACCCAATCTTTGGTGATGTCCATGGGTTCCAGACTTCAGTCAGTCATTGCGTACAAAGGATTCTCAACAAAATATTGAAAAGTAAGTTTTTACTTAGGTTTATGTCTATTTGTCCAATTACTTTCAAGCCCCCTAAAAAAGGAGCGTCAGTTTAAAAATAGCGATAATTCCAACATTTGTAATCGTATGTTTTTGTTCAACCCTTTGAAATAAAGTCTGCACTTCATTCTGTTGTAGTTGTTAAATTTCAAATCCAATCTGGTCTCTGAGGCATGCAGAGCCAAGCTCATCTTAAAACAGAAAAATACATATTTTACTTAATCGTTAGTTTAGTAACCATGAGGTCAAAGTAAAACATCAAATAAAAAAAAGGTCTAGAGACAGTTTGCATGCTTCCAGCAAATCACATGACAAAACCAAAACCGCTTGTGACTTAATAATACAACTAATCATTGTATAGCTCAAACTAGGCATACTTTGAGTTGTGCCCCAGGCCTCAGTTGGTATTCAAAAATAATTCTGAACAAAAATCAAACTGTTTAGCCAAGGATTAGATAAGTCAATTTATTATTGTGACTAATGTATTCCATTGTGGTCACAGAAATATGGGGTTATAGAAGTATAGTGCTTTATTTAAAGATTAGATATATTTGAATTAAGAGTGAATTATAATTTCTTCTTTCTAAATGTTTTAAATTGGTTTAATTGAAATGCAATCCATACCTAACACCAGTGGTGGGCCGTCAGGGCCTGCAAGGCCTTCTCTGAAGGCCTAAGAAAATATCTGAATCACAGACTGATGTTAATGATATTTTGTCCATAAAAAAGGTATTAAATATCTCTAAATAGTCTGTCAGCTTCCTTTCATAGCTTCTCCCCTGGTTGCGCTGCTTCCAGACATGTATTTTCATATAAAAGCATTTAACCAATCACATTTCAGACATCCTTTGTCGCTAGGCAGGGTCAAAGTCAAAGATGTCTGCCTGGAGGCCTTCACAATCCGTTCTGCAGGCCCCCCCCCCACAGAAAATACATGTGGAGTACATTGTTGCTTCAACCAATCAGATTTTAGATCTGTGATGCCAGGGCCTGCGCGAAGGCCCCGGAAATGCCACCGTACCCACACCCGCTGATTGGATAGTCAGATATCCAATCAGGGCAAAGCTAGCAAACAAACCGAAATATAGTTGTGTTGGTGTTATAGCTATTTTATTATTTCGTGGTGGATTTACTGTCAAGACCATTTTCAAAACGGACTTTTCAAGAAAAGTAAGTGAGTAAAATGTTGTTTTTTTCCTAAATGGTATTGCGAGTTTATGAGGACATTATTGATGTTTTTGTTTTTTTTTTTGGGGGGGGGGGATCGCAGCTGCAGCTGCAGGAGTAGAAGGTGCAGCCCTGATCTTTAGACTGTATTTTAGGATTGTCCTGATCCGATATTTGGATCGTATCGGCCGGCATGAGAAAATGCCAATCGAGACTCCAGTTACATTTTTTTTTAAAGTCCGATCCCACCCGAGCATTAGCATTAGCATTAGCATCTCCTAACCCACAGGTCTGTGTGAACTTTAGTTGTTATAAGAGTAAATCCCTGTTCAACATGAGTCTGACAACTAAGTAAGTAGCAAAAAAAAATCAACTTTAATACAAAAAGCTGGATCGGGACATCCCTACTGTATTTCTACATATTAAGATGATTTCTATAACCATAAAATAGTTATTGAGGGGTGAATTGATTCAGACGGAGCACTACTGAAGGCCTAGGTGTAAAATGCACGGCCCGCCACTGCCTAACACAAATAAGTCAGCATATTTTCATAGTATAATTTAAAAAATATACTCACCAACAGTTTTACGAGGGAGGTTCTGTATGCATTTTTAAGTGGATTGATATATATCTCAGATTTTTTTTATTTGAGAAAGCACTCATTTATAAACCCCTTAGTCAGTGATTACATGTTTAAGTTTATGTCACATTGTCCAAGGATAATCATGGCACAAATTTGTTTAATGCTGCAAAGAAGAATTTCCTGTCAACGTGAGAAGAAGAAAGCAAACAAAGTACAAATTCTGGACCAGCCCCGACTAAAGAAGACTAGAAACTAGATATAACAAAAACAAAGAACCGTGTATCACAGTTTTGTAGGTGGTGTGGTGAGGGGATGGATCCAAATGAAAAGGCTATAAAAGAAACATTGGCGGCAGGAATTTGGAAAAAATTTAAATGTATTTTCAAAAGATTAAAAAAAGCAACACCTTCTATATTTTTCAGACAATATTTCACCATTATGATGCAATATTTTAAAAGATATATCTTATCAAATTGGTAGAATTGGCATTGCAACATGGTGCAGTATTAACAGTGTAATAACTGTGATAATACCTATACTTTCTAATACATATATACATATATAATGTCTATCTAAACTTTATTTAGCCTATCCTACTTTTGTTATTAAACATTTGAATTTTTATTAAACTGGACTTAATATCTTTGTCAAAAAATTTGTTTTAATAGTGTTAGCGTAAGAATTTTGTATTTACGTGCAGTTTCTTTGTTTATTTAGCTCGTTTTGCATTTTGTGATGGTGGTGCTTTGGTTAGCATATTCGCTTCATAGCAAAAGGATGTCTGGTTTGAATCCCTGGGGCTTTATCTGTATAGAGTTTGCATTTATGTAAGCAGTTTCCTCTTCAATGGATGCATTTAGCTATTTCTTTCATCCATCCATCCATCCATCCATCCATTAATTTCTGTTTCAGAGATGGTTACGGTACCAGATCCTGTCAAAGCAGCAGAGCTGGGGTATTACTCTGTTCGTTCCAAAAAAGTCTTTTTAAAATACCTAACCTATTCTTATTTTGCACCTTTGTACCCGTCTTAGTGAAAATCTGCCGTTTAAATATATTTAAATAGTTTTTTTGCCACTCAAGAAGCTAAGGTTCTGATAAAGGTACACTGGAAATGGGATGACAGTGGATAAAATCATTTTCAAAAAGACTACATTGAAAATATGTAAAATATCAATTTTAAATGACAGAACAGTGACACTGCATCAAAAACTGTCCCGTGCCCAAAGTCTGATTTGCCGTTTAAATAAGAACACATTTTTCCACGTGCTTTCAAAGTCTTTTAAACGCTATCTATCAAAAGGTTTTTTGTCGTCTCTCCCTGGCTGCTTAAGGATAAAGCTCTGATTGATGGAGGGTTGACAAGAGGTCATCATTCTCTCAGGCTGTTTTATAAATGACTCATTTGTTTGTCAGATGTGCACTTTGCACAATGCAACGTGCAGAAAGCTACTGCATCCACAAACATTAAATCAATAAGTTAACACCATAACCATTTCCAACTTTCCAAATTCATCTCTCACCGCATAGTCACATTAGAAGTTTAATCTCATGATCACCATTCAAGATATAGTAGTTTGGGGATTTCCCCTAAAAAAAATCTGTGTTAAATT